GTTTGGATCTCCTGTTCTTCGGCATACCTGAAGAAACAAGAGTTGTACATGTGTAAGATTATACTACACGGATTAAAAGGAAAACAAAGCATGCTAATGTTCACTTTACTGCTAAAAAGTGATGACTCTATTGTAGGAACACCATATCAGCATAAGATGTTGTAAAGATTAGTGTTTATATTAAATGATAAGGGCATGAATCTAACTTTCATATTCTTAATTCTATTTCACATACAAATACAACTACTTTGACCACCATAGCTCACATATGCATCACATAACAGAACAATACCAAAAATACATGATTGGTGGTGCATTGAAGAATGGAAACATAAAAATTTTGTAGAGCAAGAAAAACAGAGCATGGATGAATACTGCAAGTCACACATTACCTCACAAATTCGGCACAAGGGGCACGTCCATGAACTCCAGTGAAATAGATCTACAAAGAAGTCCCATCAATTTTATTACCTGAAATTTGTAGCCTCATTAAAAATAAAAAATGAAAATTGGAACAGTAGTCTCACCTCTGTGTTGAGACCAGACTTTTATGCAGTTCCTGTGGTACTTCTTGCCACAGGTTTTGCATGGAAGCATCCTTCTTGCTCTCTCACTTCCTTCATTTTCACCACAAAAACATATCCGGCACATAACATTGACATTGGACTGAGCCTGTTCTTCTCGCACAACGCCTCTTGAGGTATCCTGTTAAAAGCAAAAAGAACCCAGTATTTCCAATGTAACAAATACAGAAAGAACATATACCAGGGCACAAAGAACAGTAAGATATCAACACCCCAAAAAAAAATTTGATCCTCAAAAGGATTTGACATTAAGCAAAACTGCAAAATTCATAGTGGCAGCACGTGTCCCAAGAAAAGCAAACACAAAGGCTCCCGACCTCGATTAGCAGTCAAATTCTTTTGACGGGGTTCTGCTTCTGCAGCAACATGCTCTAGGGTGGGGGTCCCGCTTATGGGATCAAATCAATACACTCTAAGAAGAAATATTTGAAATCAATCTCATTGATATCATCGATTTCATAAGTATCATACCAAATCCCATCAATCAAATTGCTTTTTTGAGTAGATACTCTAGGAAAGGCAGGTAATGGGAGCTATGGGCTGTTCAACATATCATGATGGATTTTCAACTCCCGTCCTTACAAGGTACGGTCATTCATAAGCAGAAAGTCTTCTTACGACTCATTAGGGAAATTTATGCCAAAAGAAGGTAAACTCTTTTTAAGCACTATCATAGAAAAGCTACTTAACAGCTTTTTTTTTCCAGCTAAAAGTGCTGCAACCACTTTGGATGACCCTAAAAACATCCGCTCTATCGTAAAGTGTTTGCTTTCTCTCTCTTAATTTCTTTTAAGACCAGTCCTAGTGTTCTTCAAACATTAAATGCCTTGTATAAGACCTTAAAAATCCACCTTCTGTCTTCTAACAAATTTTTTTCCAAAAGTACAAAAGATATCAATGTCTTCATTCCAATTCAATTTGAACTTAAAAGATAGACCCAGTGTACATTAATTAAAAGATATTCAAAGCTTCCTTATAAATAAAAATAAAAAATGAGATGCATTTCGTTAACAAATATAGACAAACATATGATATGCCCTAATGAATGGAAGCCAAATTTATGGAAACTCCCAATTATTAAATATCCGAAATCATTCCACCACATGGCAAACTGAAAATAAACACGAAAGCAACCGGGGAAAAGTTACTTTGTTGCAGCATTAGCCAAAAACTTTTCAGCATTCAGCATTCTTTTACAATCAACACTACCGATAACATGGATTCAGATACAAAATAAATACCAAGATTATCCTATAATTTAGCTCCAAAACACTTGCACTTCAAAAAATAAATGCAATAATCACAAGCGGTAAATTTCAAGAACCTCACCGACAAATAACCGGACTCGAATCGCCGAACGAAGTCCTCCGCCGCGACCATATCCGCGGCAGCCTTGCGCTGGAGCGCGGCCCTCTTGGCCTGAGCGGAGGCCGCGGCCGCCGACTCATCATCAACAACAACGGCAACATCACCGACGATCGATGGGAGAACCGGCTGAGGAGGAGGAGGCGGCGGCGCAACTCTCGGAACGGCAACCTGGACGGTTTGGCCTTCGTCGCGAGCCCTAATTCCGGTGGGATCGATGAGAAAGTCGTGGACTCGAAGCACGTCTTGGAGGAACAAGGTCTTGGCATTGTCGGTGGCGAGAGTGCGAGGAAACCCTAGCGGACAGTCGCAGATTCGGCGGCTTCAATGGGAAAAAGAAAAAACCAAAACAAACAGAGACAGAGAGAAAACAATGAGAAGTTTGAAGAAGAAGTAAGCGAGAAAGATAGAAACGAGAAGAGAGGAAGAAGAAGAAGAAAAAGAAAGAAATAGAGGTTTTAGAGAGAGAAGAGAGTAGATAGAGAGGGTACCATGTAATTGGGCAAGCGACGTGAAATGCCATATTGCGAGAGAAGATTTAGATTTGAAAAAATTTTGGGTTTAGGGATCGCCCTCCCTCCCTCCCAAAATTTTTACTTGGAAAATAAAAGCCAAATTAAAAACCAAAATAAAAAATATCAATAAAAGTTTCAATTACAATTAGGTGTGATGAGTGGGGTGACTGTGTGATAATTCGCTGACGAAGATTGTTGTGAGGCGAGTCAGCGAGCGAGCGAGCGAGCGAGCGAGAGAGAACAGGAAAGAAAGAGGGCTTTTTCTTCTGCGGCCTTGTTTGTTGTTGAGTTTATTTGTTAGGTTGGGTTTATATGGTAATTGGGCGAGGGCCTCGTACGTGTCATATGCCTTTGGGCTTTATGTGTCGCTGTTCCAAGAAGAGAACAATGAATAAGTTTTTTTTTTTTTTCTTTTCAATGATTTTATTTCTTTTTGGTGGAATATGCAATCGAGTCATGTTTTTATTGTGGTTGTAGTTTCCATTTTTTCAATTTTATTCATGTTTTTATTAACAATTCGAATTTAGACAAAACTAAATATTTTTTTCGTCAAATCTTTTGTGTTATTGTAAAGTATTACACTTGTATGTGTAACATCGAAGTAACTTTTGTATACGCCTGTTGTATATGAATTTTTTGAATTAATTTAACAGAAAATTTAACTTTAATTGCAACTGTTAGTCAGTTAATTACAGGATATAACAAGATTTAAAATATGCTAGACCAAAGTAAAAAATATAAAAATATATATAAAGGGCAAGAGTACAATGATAATATGGTCCACTTTAGTACCTTAACCGTATGGTCATTACATGTTAGAGAAGTGGTATAAATGTAGTCTAATAATACGGTCTCCTTAGCATGACCCTATATTCTTGCTTTCAACTTTTATCTTCTTTTTGGGAAAATCATCTTCATTCTTGTTTTGGCCACATACAATTAAGTTTCACGAGATAGTTTTTTGGGAATATATCATTCCTATTCCCCTTAGAAAGTTTGGTAAGGTTGAAAATGGTAATCATGAAATAATCTATTACTACTTCAATGTTTGATATGTACACAGTACATGCTGCATTGGGATGGAGGAATTTGAAAGAATAAATTTGAAGATTTGACAAAAATGCTAAATTTGCTAGAAATAAAATTAATTTTAAAAAAAATACTAGAAAACATTAGATTCAGTGTATTTGAAATAACTAAATGCAATATATTTTGAATTGGTTTAAAATGATCATACGGAATGAGTCATTTGAAATTCATTTCCTTCTCATTCAAATCCTAGTATACATATGGATAATATAATCTTATGATTTAACCTATCATCTAAATCCATAGATTTGGAATCACTTTATCCAAATGTGGAAATCGAACTTTGTTCTATTTTCCAATAATTATTCACAAAATATTTAAAATAATTTGTACTTCCTATTTAGAAATGGATTTTAATTTAAAGAAGAAGAATTTTGTCATAGAAGGTTCTAATTGCATACTTGAAATGGGTATTAGAATTCTTTCGATTTCTGATTCTCATGCATTTACTAACACATCATGACTATGAATAAATAAATTATTTAGATTCTACAGCATAATCCATAATCCAAAACCTGAAAAGCCATGAATTAGGTTGGTAGTTGATCTCATATCCATTTCTTCTATCTCATAAATTTTAACTTCCACAATTCATTACTTTTCCCATCATAAGTAAACATGGTATTAGAGGAATGACAAAACCCAAGGTGGCTCATTGGTTTTCATGGATACCACATTCCATGTAAAGGTAGTACATTTCCAAGATTGTGCATCCTAAATATGAGAACTGAATCTCACCCATTCTACTTTCATGCCAGCAAAATAAGTGTGGGAGTGTATTCAATTGGGAACTCTAATGGATTTGAAGGGATTTTAAAAGTCCATGGGTATTTGATCAGGATTTTAAAGGAGTCAACTTTATCTCACAACCTAATATTTCGAAAGCAGTATGCTTTCAAGCATATGAGCACATTTTGGGGCCATTGAAGTCACTTCTTACTTTCGATGTCTGAATAACTTAATTGTAGAAAATAAGCAACTTGTTGTAGCACTCTTCCAGACAGAAATGAGTTTCTATCCATAGTCAACCATTCCTTTGTTGATTTACAGTTTACACTACCTCTGTAATTTCTAACCTCTTTTTCCTGCCATTTTCTTTTCTTTTTCAAATGGCTCCTAAATTTCTACAAACTATGATTTTCACAGACCATTTGGTTCCTTGCTACAATTGGTATCTAAAACTCTAAGCTATCTTTTGCTATGTTTGATACATTTACATGATAGAAAAGTCATCATCAAGCCCATCTAATTGTCCTTTTAGACTGTTTTCTTGGATGATCAAAACTGACGTTATGGCTGAGAAATCAGAACCTGATAGAACATCCCCAATTGGAC